GTGGAACAATGATGAAAAATGTTAATGGAGGGGGCGACTTAAAACTGACACAAAACAACAACAAACCAATTGGAGAGTTTCATCACCAGCACGTGGTAAAAACCACCAATGAGCGCTCAGCTCGAGATAACAGCGAGTCGTTTCCCATCAAGCATTTCGCTTCCGCAGCCCGTAGAGACGAGCTGCGCCGCCTCGCCGTGCCTCGCTCTCAAGGCTGCGGGCGTCTTTGTCCCGCGAGATTTCAACGTCTCATGTAGGCGAGCCTCCAGAGCAAGTCGGACAAAATTACAAACCATCATGCAACGCACTAGCAAGACGTTGATCGCAACTGCGCAGGTCTGCGCAGGTCTCGCTTGTCTCAAACAAGCCTAGCGACTGCAGCCTTCCTCAGGTCCGGAGGCCCTGATTGGGGATTGGGAGCACCTAAGGGAGACAATCAGGGGGAGAGGGAGAAAGAGACTCACACACACACACACACACACACACACACACACACACACACACACACACACACAAACACCCACACCATCACCCATTACAGCACGTAACAGTTATAGTATGTGAACAATGTAATAATGGAAAGAAATTTTTTCATCTTTTCAGTAGATTTGAACAATCTATGCCAGATGGTGGTTAAACATCTCACTAACAGTGTATGTTCATTTTTCTGTAAATGACATATCTTTACTCTTCTGCTGTTGAAGAATAATACCACTCTCATCAAACAACAACATATCCATCACACAGGACCAGAGTCCGTTACATTGACTACTTACATGTCAAAAAAGGTAATCTTGTTACATGTAATCCGTTACTCCCAAAGCATGCACACTACGGACATAATAGCAAAGGCTCTGACGATTAGTGAGAAGAGGACAGACTTTTTTTTCCTTCAGTAAAGTGTTCACTGTTTTCATTGGCCATACCTACACCGATTCTCTTGTATTGTACACCTTTAAAAGACTTCTGTTTTTTTTAACAGCTCATGTACATTTCTTTGTTTTTTTTGCACTTATTACTTTCTTTGTATACAACTACAACTTTGCATTTGGCCCCTTTCATTTCTAACTAGGCTAGCCTGACCTGTGCCCTGCTTGTCCAAACACACAGTGTCAGTTCCTGTAGCATCACTGACTCTCAATTCTGCAATTTGAGATCGATAGATTTTGAGAGGGCGACTCGGTTTTGAACTAGAGGAGATCCACATGTTTATGCGTTAACTTACTGCTTTCTTTATTTAACATCCTATCTTGAAATATGTATTAGTTGTCAACACTTGTAGTATTGAGAACATCTGTATAATACCCAACATTCAACATTTCATCTTGTAGAATTCATCTGGGTTTTCAGACATTTAGAAAATGTAAAAGGACAAAGTTGCATAAAATGGAGATACTCAAGTAAAGTACACAAAACTGTACTTAGGTACAGCACTCGAGTAAATGTGCTTAGTAACCTAACAACACTGATGATGGCCCAAATTTCGTATCGTTTTAAATGTCTTTGGTATTGTAGGTTGCTGTAACTGAAAGGTTCAATAAAACACTGCGCCCACGGGGGGAGTGAGTGGAGAGAGAGAAGGGAGGGGTTGAGAAAAATAGAGGAGGGGAGATCATGAGAGAGGGGAGGGGAGGGCAAAGGCGGGTGTTAGGAAGCCTGGAGGAACAACATTAGCCCTCGTTTATTCTCGTAGTTTGGAGATTTCCTCGTTTCTCTCCAGGACGTTTGGGGACGCGCAGCTCAGGACGCAGCACGGGACGCACCGGAGCGCACGGTAAGAAGGCGCGCTGTCACTCGCCTTTTTAGTGACTTTGAAGGTGCCACGACGAAGTTGGGAAGGTGTTGACATGCTGAGATGTATTTATGGGGGGGAGAAAAAGGGAAGAGATGGAGGAGGAAGAGAGAAAGGCAGCCAGGCGAACAGGAAGCTGTTGTCTCCTCACTATTTCCTTCTATTCTTCGGGGAGTCCAAACTATGAAAGTAACGGAAAGTTAGAAAAAGTCAAAGACTTCTTCTGCGCTTTATTTGTGTCTCTAATCGTGGGTCTTTCCAGAAACACACCAAACGGCTTTTCTTCTTCTCTTCTTCAAACTTCTGCAACACTCATTACAGGCTAGATTGATCTTTTTAACTCTCTTTTTCATACGGTCGAAGTATCTTTTGTTGTGTCTGTGAAGCATTGTTCTGTTGTCAACACTGAATTTCATAATGTGTTCGCTTAAAATGTGAAGCTTGGAGTCTGTAGTGAGTTATAGGTGAAGAAGAAGAAGAATACATTATATGAAACTATGTAGGCTATATCAGTAAATTGCGGTTTAGCAGTGATGACTGTTGAGGAACTTCCACAGCAGCATCATACAGCGTAATGATACATCCATATCCTGTAGTTGAGCAAACCTTTTGCTGTTCAGCGTCAGACAGTGAAGTAGTTTGATGATTCTAACTTATCAGTGGCTGAAAAGAAAACATACTCTACATCTCACACCAGTGCAGAGGTGGGGAAAGTTCTCAGATTGTGTACTTGAGTAAAAGTAGAAGTAGGCTACCACAGTGTAGGAATACTCTGTTACAAGTAAAGGTTCTGGTTCAAAAGGTTACTGAAGTAAAAGTACAAAAGTATTGGCATCAAAATGTACTTAAAATACTCATTATGCAGATTGGTCCATTGGGGCAGGAGCTCCAACAAGCCGTGTAGGAGAGAGAGTGAATACACATACAGAGATGCCGTATGAGAAACCAATGTGAGTTTGGAAAATTGCACAATATAAATCTATTCTAGTATACCTCAACAATGGAATTATGATCCGTAGAAATGGCCATGACATGGGACCTTTAAGTAAAGTACAAGTAAACAATTTATTTAAGTACAATACTTGAATATATCCACTTGCTACTGCAATAGTGAGAGCAGTATACTCAGATATTTGACTTAAAGTGGTAATACAGTACCACTGTGAACAAATACTCTGATACAAGTGGAAGAGTTTTCCCTTTCCTGTAGTGTGTGATATAGGTTTTTGTGCATGTTAATGGTCTGCAAATGTTAAAATCCCTCTGTTCCTTCCAGAGGGAGTTTCTCTCCTACTTCCCCCCCCCTGCTTGAAACGCCTCCATTGGACTCCTTTGTTTAGTTCTGTAACATATAGTGACAATCTCTAAGTGGTTGACCCGTCACAACAGAGCATGCCAGCTAACCAATCAGAGCAGACTGGGCTCTGGTTTCAGACAGAGGGTGAAAAGAGCTGTATCTTACAGGTAGTAAGATATACAAATAAATTAAATTAAACTAAATACAATTATGAAACCTGGAAATTAGCATAATAGGGCCCCTTTAAAACATACTTGAGTTAAATAACGAAATATTGTCATCAGCATATACAATGGTGGTTGATTTAAGCTAAACAAATACCTCATCATTTATAAGTTGAATAACATTTTATTATATTATGATACTGCAAAGGAACAAAAATAAATGTAGAGGAGGAAAACATTTATGATATAAACCTCTTAAATATAAACTAGCAGAAAGTGAAAAATACCTATGTAAATTGACAAAAAAAGTTGAACTCGAGTTAACCCTCGGCATACTGTTGCCCTCAGGCAACAAACCACTTTTTTCGACCTCACACTGGCCCTCTAAATATATATATATATATATTTAAATATATACAATGTCACCTGACATGCTGGTGTCCAATAAAATGAGGGAATGATATGGGTGTGGCATTTTGTCTGGGGGTGGAGCAGTCCTTTCTGCAAGCAAAGCTGCAGGGGACTCAGGGCCACCACTTGGTAAGATGCATTTCACTTTTTAACATATTATAAATGTACACAACTTAAAATAAAAAATATTTGCATGTGCATGAATACGTAAAGAAGTATATTTGATTGTTTAAAGACTTGTTATGTAAATAAACCTGGTCAATGTTTTTACTTTACCATCTAGGAAATGGACACAGAAACATTTTATGGGCAGAAGGGACACGATCAGGGTGTTAGGGCTATTCCGTCTGACAGTGAGGACAGTGAAGGTCAAGATGTCACACACACACACATTTTAAAATTGATATAATATCAAGGACCCCTAAGCTCGTGAAACATTTTTTTCCAAAATAAAAAGTCATGCCATAGAGGGTTAATGTACTTAGTTGCTTAGCAACACTGAAAACACTGGGGCCTAGCAAACAAATAAAGGGCCCCCTTGATAAGTCTTAACTTACTAAGCTTTATACAGTGTAATGTTAAAGGCACAGCGCACATTTCAAAAACGAAATGTTTGGACATTTTAAGATTTGACCTGATGACGGCACTAGAGAGCAAACGTAAAGCATCACCAAAGTTATTACAATTCATCCCGAGTTGAACATAAATGTCTGAACTGAATTTCATGTCAATCTATCCGATAGGTGTTGGTCCTTTCACTTAGAATCATGAATGTGAATCTCGTTGTAGAAACAATTCAGAGGATCACTTGAGTTTGTTGGATTTATCTTTTGGGGAATATGGCTGCTGTTTATCCAACTCTTTGTTAATCTATCCAGTAGTTGTTAAGATAATTCAGTCTGAACCAAAGTGGTGGACAAACTGACAAAATGAAAACACAATGAAAAATGGCTAAAACGATACGAAAAATAGAAAGAAAAAACAGTAAATATAACAAACACTTATGAGATTTGAAATACTAAAGCTGAAAACATCACAAAATAAAAATAATTACTTTAATTTGAAGGAGGAATACGATAAGGTGAATATTGTATGAATAGATTGTATGAGTGTGTTACACATTGTTAATGAGATCGAGATGAATTATAAAGTTGCATTTGACTAAACATCAGCATTTAAATTCAAACTGAACAAGGACATGGACAAGAGGTCTGAAGGGTCATGTAAGGTGAATCCTTGACACCAAACTTCCTGCTAGTGCTCAAATAAAAAATCAAACTTTGTGTCCCAGCTTGAATGTGGTTTGTTGCCAAATTGATAAGAAGCTGCGTAAAAGCCTTAAAGGTCAATCAAAATGTCAAAGTGTTATCAGGTAAGTTGAGAAGAGGAGTGTGTTTGTGACCCCTCGAGGTCAGGTGAATTATTCAGAGGTTCATTGTTTGGGTCTTTTGGTGCGGCGCTAGGGGCTCGACACTGTATTGTGCTCCTGTGTCATACCTCATCTCACTTTTCCATTCTTTCTTTGTTAATGTTCATCATCAGTGGGGTATGTGAAGGAGGTCTTTACAGACAACATCTCTATTCATACCTACAGCAGGGTCACAAATCAGTTCAGTTTTTAATGTTACTAAAGTCAGAATTATCTCAAAATGCTAGCTACCTCCTGTTGTGGAGGTGTACACACCCAGTAAACTTCATCATTTACTTACAGGCAGATTTACTGAGGAAACTGACATTAATCAGTAACCCACAGGAACAGAGTCGGTATGTTAGCTTTTGTTTGGTCAACCTAGTTAGATTGAAGCTGATTCTGTGGTATTGTGTAGGACTTTCCATTTTTACATTACATTACATTTAGCTGACGCTTTTATCCAAAGTGACTTACAATAAGTGCATTCGACCAGGAAGTTACAACCTTGAAGAAAACAGAATCATATAAGTACATCAGGTTTCATAGAGCCAAACATTTCAAGTGCTACTCAACTGGCTTTAGATAAGCCAGCCCTTTATTAGTATATAAGTGCTTTGTTAGTAATTCAATTGCTCGAAGTGGAGTCTAAAGAGATGAGTTTTCAGTCTGCGCCGGAAGATGTGTAAGCTTTCTGCTGTCCTGATTTCAATGGGGAGCTCATTCCACCATTTTGGAGCCAGGATAGCAAACCCATGAGTTTTTGCTGATGGGAACTTGGGTCCCCCTCGCAGTGCGGGTGCAGCGAGCTGTTTGGCTGATGCAGAGCGGAGTGCACGTGCTGGGGTGTACGGTTTAACCATGTCCTGGATGTAGGAAGGGCCAGATCCATTCGCAGCATGGTACACAAGTACCAGTGTCTTGAAGTGGATTCTAGCAGTTACCGGAAGCCAGTGAAGGGAGCGGAGGAGCGGCGTGGTGTGGGAGAATTTTGGAAGGTTGAAGACCAGACGAGCCGCTGCATTCTGGATGAGCTGCAGAGGTCGGATGGCACATGCAGGTAGACCAGCCAGGAGGGAGTTGCAGTAGTCTAGGCGTGAGATGACGAGAGCCTGGACCAGAACCTGCGCTGTTTTCTGGGTCAGCTGGGGACGTATCCTCCTGATGTTGTAAAGCGTGTATCTGCAGCAGCGGGTTGTAGCAGCAATGTTTGCAGTGAAGGACAGTTTGTTATCTAGGATCACACCCAGATTCCTTGCAGTCTGAGTCGGGGAAACAATAGAGGTGCCGATGTTGATTGTTAGGTCAAGAGTGGGACAATCTTTTCCGGAAGGAAAAGCAGTTCAGTCTTGTCAAGGTTAAGCTTGAAGTGATGAGCCGATATCCACTCTGCTAGGCAAGCAGAGATGCGTGCGACGACCTGGGTCTCAGAGCGTGGAAAGGACAGAATTAGTTGGGTGTCGTCAGCGTAGCAGTGGTATGAAAAACCATGCGGGCTAATGACAGATCCGAGCGAGTTTGTGTACAAGGAGAAGAGGAGGGGACCAAGAACAGAGCCCTGAGGGACCCCTGTAGTTAATTGACAAGGATCAGACTCGGACCCTCTCCAAGTAACCCTGTAGGTGCGGTCTTTGAGGTATGAGGTGAGGAGGGAAAGTGCAGTGCCTGAAACTCCAAGTTCTTGGAGAGTGCGAAGGAGGAT